CGGCTCACTGCAACCTCCGCCTCCTGGGTTCAGGCAATTCTCCTGCCTCAGCCTCCTGAGTAGCTGGGATTACAGGCACGCGCCACCATGCCCAGCTAATGTTTTGTATTTTTTTTTTTAGTAGAGACGGGGTTTCACCATGTTGACCAGGATGGTCTCGATCTCTTGACCTCGTGATCCACCCGCCTCGGCCTCCCAAAGTGCTGGGATTACAGGCTTGAGCCACCGCGCCCGGCCCCTGTTTTTTTAAATCTTTGTGTCTACAGTGTTTGGCACATGGCAGACTCCAGAGTGTGTCCCTGACAACCCCAGCCCCTTCTCTGAACCCTTGTGATATACATTTCCCTAGTAAGCTCTTCATGAACATGTGGCATGGGAGGTTGGTGGAGTTTGTGTTTCTTTCTTTCTTTCTTTCTTTCTTTCTTTCTTTCTTTCTTTGAGACAGGGTCTCACTCTGTCAGCCAAGCTGGAGTGCAGCGGTGTGATCTCAGCCCACTTCGGCTTCAACTTCCTGGGCTCTTCCCGCCTCAGCCTCCTGAGTAGCTAGGACTACAGGCATGCACCATCACACCCAGCTCTTTTTTTTTTTTTTTAGTAGAGACAGGGTTTCACCGTGTTGACCAGGATGGTCTCGATCTCTTGACCTCGTGATCTACCCGCCTCGGCCTCCCAAAGTGCTGGGATTACACGCTTGAGCCACCGCACCCGGCCCAATATTTTGTATTTTTAGTAGAGGTAGGTTTTACCATGTTGGTTAGGCTGGTCTCGGTCTCCTGACCTCATGAACCACCTGCCTCGGCCTCCCAAAGGGTTGAGATTACAGGCATGAGCCACCATGCCCAGCCAAAAGCCCAAATTTTTAATCATCATTTGATGCTGGGCTGGGGATTGTGAACAGTGTGGAGTTTTTAGGAAGGTCAGCATGGCCACTGAGGGTGAGGTGCGTTCAGGGGAGCAGGCAGCCAGATGGTGCCTCCGGGAGACTGAGGTCCATTGTGAGAGGGTTCTGGGTGGGCTGTGGGCTATGGGAGGATGGGACAGACAGGATAGAGACCACTGGAAAATCGGCAGGACTGCTTGACCTCCTGGCCAGGCACAGTGGCTTATGCCTGTAATCCCAGCACTTTGGTAGGCCGAGGCAGGCGGATTGCTTGAGGCCAGGAGTTCAAGACCAGTCTGGCCAACATGGTGAAACTATGTCTCTACTAAAAATACAAAAATTAGCTGGGTAGCCAGGCGCGGTGGCTCAAGCCTGTAATCCCAGCACTTTGGGAGGCCGAGGCGGGTGGATCACGAGGTCAAGAGATCGAGACCATACTGGTCAACATGGTGAAACCCCGTCTCTACTAAAACTACAAAAAAATTAGCTGGGCATGGTGGCGCGTGCCTGTAATCCCAGCTACTCAGGAGGCTGAGGCAGGAGAATTGCCTGAACCCAGGAGGCGGAGGTTGCAGTGAGCCGAGATCGCGCCATTGCACTCCAGCCTGGGTAACAAGAGCGAAACTCCGTCTCAAAAAAAAAAAAAACAAAAAAAAAAAAAAAAAAATTAGCTGGGTATGGTGGCACACACAGGTAATCCCAGCTACTGAGAAGGTTGAAGCTGGAGAATCGCTTGAACCTGAGAGGCAGAGGTTGCAGTGAGCCAAGATCAAGTCACTGCACTCCATCCTGGCCAACAAAGCCAGACTCTGTCTAAAAAAAAAAAAAAAAAAAAAAAGAAAGAAAGAAAGAAAGAAAACAAAAAGAAAAATGGGCAGGACTGGTTGACCTCCCGAATATTGGCTGTGAAAACAAGGACAGCTCCAAAATGTTGAACCTGGAAAGAGGGGACAGCAAGGGAGGGTACAGGCAGCTACTGCAGTCCAGAGCAGTCAGGAAGTGTGGCTTCCCATCCCTTAGTGGGTGGATACTCACTAAGTCTTTGTCAGATGAATGAATGAATGAGTTGTATGATCTTAGACAAGTCATATGATCTTACATGATCTCTGGGTCTCATTTTTTTCATGTGTTATATGAAGGGATTAAAATGGAATGTATAAAACAGAGAGGTACTTGGCTGAATGCAGTGGCTTATGCCTGTAATCCCAACAATTTGAGAGACTGAGGCAAGAGGACTGCTTGAGGCCGGGAGCTTGAGACCAGCCTGGTTAACATAGTGAAAACCTTGTCTCTTAAAATATGTATTTTTTAAATTTAAAAAATAGGCTGGGTGCAGTGGCTCATGCCGGTAATCTCAGCACTCTGGGAGGCTGAGGCAGGCAGATCTTCTGAGGTCAGGAGTTCGAGACCAGCCTGGCCAACATGGTGAAACCCCATATCTACTAAAATACAAAAATTAGCCAGATGTGGTGGTGGGTGCCATAATCCCAGCTACTAGGGAGGCTGAGGTAGGAGAATCGCTTGAGCCCAGGAAGCAGAGGTTGCAGTGAGCGGAGATCGCACCACTGCACTCCAGCCTGGGCAACAGAGCGAGACTCTGTCTCAAAATAATAATAATAATAAGCTGGGCTCAGTGGTTCATGCCTGTAATCCCAGCACTTTGGGAGGCCAAGCTGGGTGGTTCACCTGAGGTCAGGAGTTCGAGACCAGCCTGGCCAACATGGCAAAACCACGTCTCTACTAAACATACAAAAATTAGAGCCGGGCGCGGTGGCTCAAGCCTGTAATCCCAGCACTGTGGGAGGCTGAGGCGGGTGGATCACGAGGTCAAGAGATCGAGACCATCCTGGTCAACGTGGTGAAACCCCGTCTCTACTAAAAATACAAAAAATTAGCTGGGCATGGTGGCGTGTGCCTGTAATCCCAGCGACTCGGGAGGCTGGGGCAGGAGAATTGCCTGAACCCGGGAGGCGGAGGTTGCGGTGAGCCGAGATCGCGCCATTGCACTCCAGCCTGGGTAACAAGAGCGAAACTCCGTCTCAAAAAAAAAAAAAAAAAAAAAAAAAATTAGCCGGGTGTAGTGGTGGGCACCTGTAATCCCAACTACTGACACTGAGGCAGGAGAATTGCTTGAACCTGGGAGGCAGAGGTTGCAGTGAGCAGAGATGCACCACTGCACTCCAGCCTGGGCGACAGGGCGAGACTCCATCTTAAAAATAATAATAATTTTTAAATTTTTTTTAAATATTGGGGAAAAAGGGAGAGGTACTCTCACGGAAGGAGTAGGAGTTCTTCCCATCCTTAGGGCCTCTCTGGGTACCCCAGAACAATGATTCCAACCCTGGCTGTAGGCTGCACTAACGAAGGCCCCACGTAAGACCACTTATTCTAGAATCTCTGGAGATGGGGCTGAAGCACAGGTAGTTTTAAGGCTGCCCAGGTGGCTCTGATATGCAGCTGGTTGAGAACACTTACCCTGGAGCCTTGAAAACCCCCGAGCTAGGTAAGGGCTGAGATCCCTGCCAGGCCTAGGCACCCAGAATGCGACTTGTGGTTGGCGACAGGCCTCTCTTCTCATGTTCCATGTCCCACATTCCATTCCCAAACCAGACACTCCTAATAGGCAGGGCACCAAAAACCAGAGTTTCTCAACCAGGCTCTGACATTTTCTTTCTTTCTTTTCTTTTCTTTTTTTTTTTTGAGATGGAATCTCACTCTGTCAGCAGGTGGAGTGCAGTGGCACGATCTTGTCTCACTGCAACCTCCTCCCAGGGTCAAGCAATTCTCGTACCTCAACCTCCCAAGTAGCTGGGATTACAGGTGCCTGCCGCCACACCCAGCCAATTTTTGTATTTTTAGTAGAGAGGGGGTTTCACCATGCTAGCCAGGCTGGTCTCGAACTCCTGACCTCGTGATCTGGTCACCTCAGCCTCTCAAAGTCCTGGGATTACAGGCGTGAGCCACTGTGCCTGGCCTCTTTCTTTTCTTTCTTTCTTTCTTTTTTTCTGTCTCCCTTTCCTGGTAAACACTGACATTTTGGACGGGATGATTCTTTGTTGTGGGGACTTTCCTGTGCGTTGTGGGATGTTTAGCTCATCTCTAGTCTCTACCCACCAGAGGCCAGTGACACATCCCCAAGTCAAAACAATACAAAACCACTCCAGATGTTGCAAAATGTGTACTGGGGTGCAAAATCACCCCCATCTGAGATGCACTGTGCTACTCTGAGAGTCTCCCATTTTTCCTCTGCCCCCTCCAGTTGCAGACAGAGGCCAGGCAGGGGCAGAGATCGTGAACAGCAGGTTTAGTTGGGCCTGGCAGGACAGAGGCCTCTGAGGAAGGCCAGGGTTTCACTGTGTTAACACGATGGAGGGAGGGATGCCAGCGAACCAACTGATGTGGTCTCACTCCAGCGGGGTGAGTTTTCCAGAACACGCATTCCTGGATTCCCAATCAGTCACAAGAGGGCCTGGAGTCGCTTCTGGGGCAGTCGCCCCCACTTTCCGGGAACAGGCAGAAGGGGGTGTGGGCGTGGTGGGAGTGGTGTAGGGGATTCTTTCCTTCTGTAGATATTTTCCTGGCATTGTTGACAGCGCTGTCTGATTGGTTGAGGGCCAGAGGGGAGGAACTTTCCAGCTGTGGGTGCCCGGGTTCCTGGGAGGCCGTCAGACCTGGGATTGTGGGGATGTCTGGGTTTTTTGGGATTTTCTTGTTTTTGCATTATCTCACCAAGCAGAAGCAGGGATGTCTGGGTTTTAGGATCTGGAAGACTGTCTTTGGAGCTGGGACTAAGGGGCTGGCTGGTTCCCCTCCAAGGGATGTGGAAGTTGGGAGTGCACACTCCTTAGAGCTGGAGGCTGGGAGGTTTTCAGTGTCTTCATAAGCTACTTTTTGCTTGGAGGTGGTGAGACCTGAGGGAAGATGGAGGATGGGAAGCCTAAGGGAGGGGCCTGGGAGGGGCGGAGGGAGGGTGGGCGGTGGAAGGCACTGGTCAGGGTAGGATCCCCGTCCTTATCCCCAAACTCACTCCACCAGGAGGCTCAGAACACCCAGAAGCAGGACAGCTCCGAAGACGGAGAGGAGCAGAATCTTGGCTTCCCAAAGATCATGACTTCCTGCAGGGAACCCAGGAGGCAGCGAATAATTCTGGGACCCACACTCACCAGTTGGGGAGCCCAAGGACTCAGGGATCTGGGCAAGGGTGGGCATGAGGACCTGGGAAGCAGCGCTTTCGAGGCCAGCAGGACACCTCGGTCCCCTTGCAGGTAGAGCAGTTGTACAGCACGGTGCTGCCCCCTGCAGGAGACAGCAGGGGCAGCGCTGGGGAGGGGAGGCCGGGCCTCCACCCCGCCCTGTACCCAGCTTCCTCCCAGGCCCTCCTCTGACACCCTGCAGGCCCCAAGTCCTTGCAACCCCTTTCCTTTCCTACTCACGGCAGGCGGGGGGACAGAGAGCTGCAATGAAAGACAAGGAAGGGGCGGGAGTGTGAATGGATGTGCTGCTCACCACACACCCCTTTGCCTGAGACCCTGGGCTCCCCTCGAGGCCACCCCGCGTCAGTACCTTCCCTTGTGTACTCAGGGAGCTTGGTGTTATGAAGCCATCTCCAATATGAAGGGAGTGAGGAAAGAGCCTCTTTGATCTCTGGGGAGGCAGAGCAGCTCCGTTGGGCCTCGACAGGGCCAGTTCCCTCTCCCTTCACGCAGCCCCCTCCGGATCAGGCCTCCCGTCTCCACCCCTCCACTTTCCCTGCCCACCCCCCAGCCCTTGTTGCCCACCCCTGTCTTTGGTGTCTACCCAAGCCCCTAGGTCACGCTTTCCCCTTCACCTCACCCATGACCCTCAGGACTCTGTGAGTCTTCTCTGTGACTTTGTTCATAGACATCTCATCTGTGGAGATGGGCAAGAACCATCGACTCCATCACCAGCCCAGGGTCTGGGGTCTCTCCTGACTTTCCCGTATATGGCGCTGTCTCAGAGGGAGAGACCAGCATGTTCAGAAAGGGCCACAGATGGAGGGCAAGGCTGGGAGGTCACATGCCACCCTTTGGGGGTACGGGGGTGACTGTTTACTGGGCCCATCCTCGAGTGTCTGGTCCCACCTAAGGCAAAGGCCGAGAAGTCCGGGGAGGCCTCACATTCCTTCTGCCCGGCCTCCGTCTGGCTGCAGAGCCGAGCCAGGCGGCCTGACAAGTCGTGGGCTGGGAGGCGGCAGAAGACACAGGCCTGGGCGGCTGCCAGGAAAACCCCGCCTAGTGCCAGCCTCCACATGAGGACCACAGGGGGGTGGAGCAGGGCTGCCCCAGCTGGACCAAGGAATGCTCTGCAGCCCTGGCTCCAGCCCTTGCCTGGAGGTTCTAGAGTGTTCCAGAACAATGAACAATGCCACGACCCATCCTCAGCTGGGGTAAAGCTGGGGCTCAGGAAACTGGGGTCCCGAAGGCCTCTCCAGCAGGCGATGGGCAGAGAAAGCAGGCTTCTGTGATGCAGGGACAGCACCCTCAACCTGGCCCTCAACGGCCTTCACAATTTTGTGGTTCCAAAAGCCATTTTATTTTTCTTCTTGTAAATCATGACCAGTGATAAATAATGTGTGACACCCCCAGTGAAGAAGCTGCGCACGAGTATCCCATCCGCTCAGGGAGCCAGAAATCCCATCCCTTCCCATCTCCTCCCCCACGGCCCCAAACTCTTGTCTCCTCTCTCTGCCCTGGGCCGCCTTGGGCCTTCCCAGCTATCTCCTAGCAACAGGGCCATGGTTGCCACAGCAACCAAGAGTTCCATACAGGCCTCAGAGGCCCAGCTAAGCCCAGTGACTTCTCTTACCTCTCACGGGGAAGATCCCAGTGACTCAAACCCCAACAGGCCCCTCCTGGCTACGTGGTGATGCATATGCATGCGTGCACGTAAACACATACACATACATCCTGTGATTAAACGACTAATTGTCAACCTCCTCACATACACACTACAGATACACCCTGGGCCAGAATAGTTGCTGGGTAACCCCAAACAGGCCTGGACACGCAGACATCACAGACACTGTAGTCAGCAACACAGATGGGAACCAGGATGCCAGGGACCTCTGCATCAGTCAGACACACTGGCTGATGTGCAGGCACACACGAAGGAAGCCCAAGGACTCAACAGATTCTACCCTCTTCCCCATGGCCAGCCCCACCATCAAGGTGGGATCCTTCCAGATGAGGGATGCTCCAGCCCCATTGCCATGGGGACTCTCCCAGCTCCCGTACATCAACTGAGGGTGGGATGTGGCCTTTCTGTCTCCCTCACTAGATGGCTTGGAACACAGCAAAGAACCCCTCTTCCCTTGTTCCAGAGTGTTCTGGCATCTCTTTGGTCAGGCCAGGCCACCCAGCTTCAGGAGGAGAGGCCATGGTCCAGGAGACCGCATGGGGCAATGCCAAGTCCTCCCTCTTCCCCAGACCTCAATATCCTTCCAGGGTTTTGCCAGGCTTAGTCTGGGTAAAGAGGTGTTCCCCACCTTTCCAGGCCCTTAAACACTGAGCTCCAATCAAGGAGAGATTGGAGGTCCCCAGCCTTAGGTGAGAACAACCAAGAGAACCTTCCTTGCCCCTCCAAGGATCTGCACCAGTTGAGACCTTCTGGACCCCTGTGAGTCCTTGGTGGGCTCAGGTTTGGGAATTTCTGCCCAGATCTGAGCTTCAGTCAGGTGCAGGGGAGTCCTGACTCTCATAGCTCCTGGAGCAGAGCTGGAAAGAGGCTTCAGGGGTGCCAGTACCCCATTAACTGCCCCATTCCCTCTCTTCCCAGAGTCAAAATGAGAACCGCGTCCTCAGTGCCGGACAAAGCGCAGAGACCGGGAGTTGAGCAGGTCTTCAGGGTCGGGGAAGACAGAGTCTAGGCGGAAGCCATGCTCGAGAGCCACCCGCAGCACCTCCTCCAGGAAGCTTGGCGTGCCCACCACCTCCCGCCGCTCTCCTGGCCCCCCAGTCCACAGTGGCTGCAGTCCCAGTCTCCCATACTCCGCCTCCGGGAGTTCCACGGGGCAGGGGGCCCACTCCAGATGAAAATGTGGGCTCCCCTCTGCCCTATCCCCACTGGCCACACCAAATCGGGCCCGCAAAGCACCTAGACACTCAGGATCAGTGCAGAAGAGGTTGGCTCGGAAGGTGTCCACCTGGACGGAGCTCAGCTCATAGTGATGGGGTCCCCGGCGATCAGAGAAGTGCACGAGGCGGGGGCTGACGTCTACATCTGCGTGGAGCAGGGCAGCTGTGGATGCAGGGGTCCCCCGAGAGGCCTCCAGTTCCCGCAGCGCGTCCAGGAGGGGCCGGATCTGGTAGAAGTCAGCCTCTGCCTTGAGAAGCGCTGTCTCTCCATACCCGAGGGGCAGGTCCAGACGGCCCAGCCTCAGGAAATTGAGGATGTGCCGGAAGGCCTTGCCATCCCGGTCGATGAAGTAATGGCCGCCTCCTTGGGAATTGAGGTTTGGGGGCATGGGGGTGCCGGCCCTAAACATAGCCCCCAGCATGGAGTCTGGGAAGCGAGTCAGGGTCTCCAAAGTGGTGGAATATAGTGTGCCCCCCACATTTAGGGTCACGGGGCCCCCAAAGGAGGGGGGCGAAGACGGCACAGGAGGAGGAGAAATTTTGGGAAGTACAGGAGACACCGAAAGAAAAGAAAAGGCACAATTTCCTGGATGTGTGTGCAGAATTGGGTCGAAACTGTCAGGCTCGCTGGGTTGGAGGCACAGGCGGAGCACAGGCAGTAAGGTTTGGGGCTTGCCCGGATTACTTTGGTGGTGGATAGGGGGCTGGTCTCAGGGAACAGCAATTCCTGAAAGGCTGAGAGAAGGGATGAAAAAAGCAGAGGGCAGCCAGAGAGGGGAAGGGAGCTTGAGGTCTGGACGTATCCGATTTGCGGTGGTCAGCGACTCTCCTCTGTGCTCTTCAGAGGGTGGGTTTCCGGAATCCAACCAGCAGGTGACGGTGGCGAGCACAGGGCCGACTCTGAAGGGCTGGCTTCGGAGACCCCGGGCAGATCGCTGCCGCCGAGGTCGAGTCCACCCAGGGCTCTGGGGCCACTCCGAGGCCAGGCCGGGCTGCCGGCGCGGGTCGCAGAAGATGGAGGCGGAACTGACGGGAGCGGATGGCGGAGCCGCCTTGTATCCACCGGGTGGCGACGATGCGTACTCAGCCCGGGCTGGGAGTGTCCGAGCGCTCTGATGAAAACAGCCGGGAGTCTCGGTACCCGGCCGCCGCCGCCTTCCCCGGGTGTCGCCGAAGCCGCTGAGGTCCTCTCCGCCCCCAGGAAGTGGCCTGAGCGCAGCGGCCCGGGCCCCTTTAAGAGACAGCCCCGCCCCGCCCCCGCCCCCGTGCGGCTCTTGGGGGGTTGTGGGGAGAGTCTCGGACGGGAGAGACGGGGCGGACTGGCCGGACTGGCGCACGCCGAGGGGCAGGTGACTCAGTCGCGTCGCCCCGGATGTGGCCGCGACCGCCCCGCCGCCGCTCAGGTGTGCCCGGCCTCACGTCTGCAGCTCTGCGGGGCTGGAGCCTCTAATCCCGCCGCTCAGAGCCCGAGGCCGGCCCGGGGGCCGCGTCCCTCCCAGCGGCTCCCGCGGGGAATTCCCGAGCGGGCGGGTGCTGAGCCGTGGCATTCCGGGGATGCCTCTCTACCGGGGCGGCCCCGGCGCGCGCTCTCGGCGGCCGCGCGGGCCCGCGAGCCCCAGGGCCGGCCCCACCCCTCGGCAGGACGGGGCTGGCCACGTCGCCCGAGCCCGAGAGCACCCGCCCCGCAGCGCCCGGGCCGCGGCCGAAGCTGCCGCCTCGCTCCCCGGGGTCGCCCCTTGCTGGACTCGAGCTCGCAACGCCCCAGCCGCTCCCCGAACCCCGGGAGCCGCAGCGCCCAACACCCTGCGGGCCCGAAGGTGGCGCCCAAGAAGTGAACCAGAAGAAAAGAGCGAAGCACAGTGGCTTTAATGGCGGAGGGCCCAGTGGCGGGGAGGAGGGGGGAGGGAGGCGCGGGTCGCGAAGGCTTGGGGTCACAGAGTGTGGAGGTCGTGACTGCGCCGGCTCAGCTTCTCCGGGTCGTCTGACGCCATGAGGGAGAAGTCTCGGAAGATGTCTAGATACGTCTCATCTCCTGGGGGAGGGAGGGAAGGCGGGGAGGCGTCTGGGCCCCAGTGCAGAAGGGCAGAATGGCGGGGCCCTGGGCCCGCCTGGGGACCTAGCGCTCCGAGCGTGGGTGGGAACGTGCGCGCCGCGCAGTGCCTATGCTTTGCCCTATTCGAGGGCCTGGCACGTCGGACGCACCCAATACGCATTTATTAAATAACGGAATGAATGCAGTCAGGCACTAGGGAGAGAGGTCACCGTGGACCAGAAGCGCAGAGTTCAGGTGCTGTGTCTAGGGGGTGGGATGGGTGGATTCTTTACCTGCCTGGCCCTGGGCCGCTTCAGCCTCCCTCATTTTTGCCAGTCGTAGCCTGAACGGGAGGGAATTAAGAAATGAACGACACTGTCCTCATCTCCCCGCCCAACTTCCCATTCTTCCAGCTGGGTCGCGTTTTGTTCATCTGCCCACCGCGGTTCTAGGGCTAAAAAGATGCCTGACAGCAATGTTGATGCACGAATGACGCCTCTCAGGGTGGGCTGAGCATCCTTGCACCCCGCCTGCCCGCCTGCCTTCTACTCCACGTCCCATTGCACACTTGGAGCAGCCTTTCTCGCTCCTGGTCCCAGCGCTCGCCTGGCCCTTCCCCAGGTCCCACCGAACGTGGGCGGGTGGAGGTGGGATCCCAGCACCAGCCCCACCCCTTCAGGCATTCTCACAGGGTGACGATGTCAGCATTAGCTGTTTCCATGGCGATGGTCAGAGGGTCCCTGCCTTCAGAGTCTTGAGCCCCCAGATCAGCCCCCCGTTTCAGGAACAGGCAGGCGAGCCTGGAGAGAAGAGCCAGAGTCAGACGGCCACCCAACTCCTCCCAGCCTTCCTCCCCATGGCCGTCATCCCTACCCCGTGTGGCCAAGGATGGTCGCGTGGTGCAGCGGGCCCCGGCCGGCACTGTCCGCTTGGTTCACGTTCGCCCCGTTCTGGAGGAGAAACTCACAGGCCAGAAGAGAATTCTGCATGGAGAAGTCGACAAGGGGGTTGAGGGTGGCATCCTCAGTTGGTAGAGTTCAAGATGTCTTAGGGTAGGGCCAGTTCAGAGAATGGAAAGGTGGGGTGTGTTCATCAGGAGCGTGGAAGGGGTTACAGCTGTCAGGCTTGGCTCTAGCTCTTTGCACGTATTTATATGTAAATCTAGTACAAGCTTATGAGGTATGTTATCCTTTTTTTTTTTTTTTTCTTGAGATGGAGTTCTGTTCTTGCTGCCCAGGCTGGAGTGCAATGATGCAATTTCGGCTCACGGCAACCTCCACCTTCT